TTATATTTGGAAAAAGGTGCAAATAAGCCCATGTACTAACAAAAAAAGGTCAAATAAACCTTTATTTAGGAGACTCTGTCCGGCCGTCGTAATTTGGGGTGGTTCCTGGTGGAATTTTTTGATTAAATTTTTTGAGCATCTTATTCATCAAGTTTAGTTTATTCATACCAAATTTCAGCTAAAACTTCAATTGGGAAGGCATTCAAATGAATTCTTGAAGATAACTGTGATTCTAACTGCGCAGTTATTTTCAAGAATTCATTTGAATGCCCTGTCCAATGAATTTTTAGCTGAAATTTGGTATGAGTAAACTAGACTTGATGAATAAGATGCTCACAAAATGTCATCAAAAAATTCCACTGGGAACCACCCCAAATGGCGATGACCGTACAGAGTCTCCTAAATAAGGGCTTATTTTTCCTTTTTTTATTAGTACATGTGCCTATCTACACCTTTTTCCATTATATTTCAAGCCTCAAGATTTGTGTCTAAAATGAATCTACTCATCTTATAGCGTTGATTTTTGTCTGATGATCAAAAAAGGTTCGTCACCTCCTTGCCTGGCCTGCCAAAGAAAGGCGGAGGAGCTGATCCTTTTGAATCACGGAACCCGCCTCATACAACAACAAAGAAGGATGACACCTTCATTCCTGAGGGTCTCCGATTCCGACCGGACGGTACGTTGGGAGGATATAAATTGGACTATAATCACAATCCGACAGATAGAGAGTTGCGCTCTGTCTTCGATACTTGTAGAGGCCCTATGCATTTTTAGCATAGTAACCCGTCATCGCAGTTGTCGGGATTCGAACCCGGGACCTAACCCTTGTGGCACTCCCTTGGTACCGGTTGACCTACGTCCACCGGTACAAAGATCCATCGAAAGAGTTTTCAACTCGACGTTGACTACTTGACCACTCACCGTACCACGGCGGTGCCATTGGAGGGGGGCAAGCCACCAAGCTCGGAAAAGTGAGAAAGATGAACCACTCGAAAAATGTGTTAGTTATTGCGCCACTGCACATCATTCGGTTGGTGAAAATGATAGACCGTGAAGAAACCATAGATCCAAGGGAAGCTAGCTAGTCAATATAATTCTCCGTACCTTTTCTCAAAATCCACCGCAACAAATTAATAAGTTATATAGGGATGATTCTAATAAAAAAGGTATAAGGGTCAGATAGAGCCTCAAACTTGAAAAAAAATGTCAAATAAAACCATATTTAGGATGCTCTGTCCGGCCGACGCCATTTTGGGCGGTGCCCAGTAGAATTTTTTGATGAATTTTTTTGAGAATTTTATTCATTAAGTCTAGTTTACTCATATCAAATTTGAACTAAAACTTCAATTGAGAAGGCATACAAATCAATTCTTGAAAATAACTGCGTAGTTAAAAGAGCAGTTATCTGTCAAGTAAATGGTTCCGGAGGATAAGAGGCTCTATCAATGTCTATATTCCAATAAGAAGGCAGACAGAAACCCTTGATCAGAAGATGATCGAGACAAAACAATTCCCCACACCCATAGAGACAAAACACCCCGAAACACCAAAGCTCGGGAAAGAACGACCACAAAACAAAAGAAATACAAGCAGAAAAGAAGAACAGTCCAATTGAGTCATACTCGTATCAAGAATCTTCGAGAGTTGATGTCACCACTTCGTCATTGGTGTCACGAGCAGGGGCGTAGCTAGCGGAGGGCCAACCCTGGCTCTGGCCCAGCCCAAATTTAAAAAATGTCTAAATTTTTATGGTAAAAAATTATATGTAATTTTTTTTCCAAAAATATTCTTTGTATCGGCTCAGTCCGACCAAGTGCCCTGCCTCCGCCCCTGATCACGAGGCAATTGTTGTGGCCTCCACACTAACTTTGGGGGTTTGTTTGGTGGCTGTCCTAAAAATTCGTGGTACATCTTTATTAAATTTGATATAAAACAATCTTAATATCGGTAAGAAAAAGATTAAACATGAGGGTTAGGACTAATACATAGAAATAAAAAATGCACGTACCAGGCCCACTCCTCTAGTGTGTTATATAAAGACGAAGAAAGTGATTGAGCAGAAGTGAACCCCAGAACCAAAAAAATGGCTATTATACAATTTACACGTAGGTTCCTCTCAAACAATAATTCACCACCGGCACCGCCGTCAGTGGGGAAGTCGGCAGCGGGTGAACCGCCGTCATCGGAAGTAACAGTGGAGTCTGATTTTGTAGTTATCCTGGCGGCACTACTGTGCGCACTGATTTGTGTGGTCGGGCTCGTAGCCGTCGCTCGATGTGCGTGGCTCAGGCGAGGCGTCACAGGCGAGAACGGCCGCGCGTCGGCAGGGTGCGCGGCGGCGAACAAAGGGCTGAGGAAGAAGGTGCTCCGGTCGCTGCCCAAGTTCACCTACGGCCCATCCCTCGTGGCCGAAAAGGGCGGGAAGCAGTTCCCGGCGGACTGCGCTATATGCCTGGCGGACTACGTCGACGGCGACGAGATCCGGATGCTGCCGCAGTGCGGTCACGGGTTCCACGTGCAGTGCATCGACACGTGGCTCGGGTCCCACTCGTCCTGCCCGTCTTGCCGGAAGATTCTCGTGATAGCTCGTTGCCGGAAGTGCGGCGGTAGGGATTTTCCTCCAATCTCCGGCGCCGGAGATAATTCCTGTACAGGAGCTCCTTTCGGCGTAACCGCCGGCGACTTTCTGGTATAGGCTGTACTACTTGCCGGAGTAAAATTAATCACTGTAAATTGGTAGGGGACAGTTCCGTTGATAGTAGGGCCCAGGAAGTCTACCTGTCGCCGTGATTTCCGGCAAGGCCATGTGATGATTGGTCGCTCTGCGGGTGTGGACGAAAGCTGTTATGGCGCTGGTTGAAAAGATGCGGAAGAAACTCAATACGATTTCGGGTCGGGGCAATTGTATGTGGGGCAAAGGATTAGGGGCTGGAAATATGGGTAGTTAATCCTTACTCATTAGTAGTTACTAGTAGTTAGGACTTTCAGTTTATTGCTATTATTACTCTAATAAAATGTGTACATTATTAACTTTCGGGGGAGATTTCAACAAATAGAAGCAAAATATACGGACTTTCCAAAACTAAGACCGAAAATTAGAGTAAGACTCAACTACACCTGCATTGACCACAATATCCTTACTTTTAGAAAATAACAGACATTAAATAGACAGTAAATAGACAATAAGTAGACATTAAATAAACAATGAAGAAAATTGCTCCCATCTTCTCCCGACTTTATCCCATTCACTAGTACAAAAAAGGCTTTTCACATCGGTCAAAAAAGGCTTTTCACATCGGTCAAACAGTCGATGTGGTTCCAGCACATGTGAAAAGTATTGACTTTTGACATCGGTCAAACAGCCGATGTTAAAAAAGTTTCTACATCGGTCGTTTAGTGCCCGATCTAGAAGATAGGCCGAAACAGCGTTTTTAATGATATTTCACATCGGTTATAACCCATGTAAAAAAGAAACCACATCGGTTATTTTATAACTGATGTAGAAAAGCTTTAATTTTTCCCGGAGCATTGGTTTTTCACATCGGTTATAACTCATGTAAAAAAGAAATCACATCGCCTATTTCACAACTGATGTGAAAAGCTTCGTTGTTTTTCGGAACATATGTGTTTCACATCGGTTATAACCCATGTAAAAAAGAAATCACATTGGTTATTTCACAACTGATGTGAAAAGCTTCGTTTTTTTCGGAACATATGTGTTTCACATCGGTTATAATCCATGTAGAAAAGCCATCACATCAGTTATTTCACAACTGATGTGAAAAGCTTCAATTTTTTCGGTATTTTTTATGAATTTTTCTTGCAATATGCCCCCTGTTTATACTATAATCACATCATTAACAGTATCATCAACTACAATAGCACAATTTTTCACCTGTTCACTTGATCCATCTAAAACAATAACACAAGCTAATTTTCAATTCTTCCACAAATGTTAAACAAGTTCAAGTAACAACTTAGTACATAATAACAAGCTAAAATAAAACAATTCTTGCACAAGTCTAGAGTAATAACACATTGTACTTGTTTAACATCATCACTCAAAAACTTAAACAAACACGTTCATCACGTGTCGTTGATGGATTGCGTCATTTCTAAGAAATATGATGTCCAACGAGTCCGTACTTCATCAACCTCTTCTGATGAGAATGGTTCCGGATTGGCGAATCGCTACAAATTAAATAAGAATGTTATTAAAAAATATTACATCTGGAGCAAACCTATTGAATGTAAATAAAATAATAATGTACCTCATCCCACATTTCAAGAATTACCGCCGAAACAATAGTCAACATATGCAACATTACATAATAACCACATTCATAACTCCCAACTTGCATCCGAGACTACAAATTAGAACAACATACTTACTAATCAGAAATTACGGTATTCGACTTGGTGCTACACAAATGAAAGTAAAAATAACATACAAAGTAAAGTAGTAAATATTTACCATAGGAATAATCCATTTCACTCTTCCCATTCTTGAGTTGAGTCTACGGCTTGCCTCCATTGCACTATGTAATTTATAATATTATATATATATATAATAATAATTTATTTATGTAATTAAGATATTAAAACGGAATGTACAAAATACTTACGCATCAATAATATTTTTGAATTGTCTATTTGGCTTATTCCCCAAAGAACACAAGAAGACAATAGTGTTTTGGATAAGAGAGAGAATAAAGAGCTGCTAGTGATTCCTGTATACATAAAAAAAGGATAAAAGACAAACAATGATTTTTTTTAAAAAAAATAATACATAAAAAAATATTTACAAAAAATGGCCTCCTACTCTCCTGCAGCGAACTACTATCTTGTGAAACATGTCAATAACACTGAACAAATATATGGGATTGTGGCCTTGTGGGGGATGTTAATTCATTTTACACTGACCAGATATAAAGATATAAAATCGCATATCAAGTCTTGGACTTCTCCTCACAATTATAAGCACACAAAATCGTATATATTTTTTTATAAAATTGTTCAACACCAGGGGTGTGACAAAAAACATTACACATTATAGTTCACAAAATAATCTTTTGCATCAACACAGCACAGAAGCGCACCAGCTGGGCATACAGCAAAGGCTATTAAAAGCTTCAGCAGCTACTAAAATCTAGAAGAGACATACAACAGTTAATGCAGCATAGAGATAAAGATCATTGTTTAAGCACGTTCACCCCTAATCCTCCTAGCAAGCTGGATGTCCTTGGGCATTATGGTCACACGCTTGGCATGAATGGCACACAGGTTAGTGTCCTCAAACAGACCTACCAGGTATGCCTCTGCAGCTTCCTGGAGGGCAAGGACAGCATGACTTTGGAAATGTAGATCAGTCTTGAAATCTTGGGCAATCTCCCTGACAAGCCTCTGGAAAGGAAGCTTCCTGATCAGGAGTTCAGTACTCTTCTGGTACTTTCGTATTTCACGAAGTGCAACAGTACCAGGGCGGTATCTGTGGGGCTTCTTCACTCCACCTGTTGTTGGTGCAGACTTCCTGGCAGCCTTGGTTGCAAGTTGCTTCCTTGGAGCCTTTCCTCCAGTTGACTTACGAGCAGTTTGTTTCGTACGAGCCATCTCGGAAGGATATCAAGAGCAGGCCAGGCCTATCACTCGGGCAAATGCGAAAGTTTTACACAAAATCGTATATAAAATCTTGGAATACTCTTCCTATAAGGTTATTCAAGGTTCTTAGTAACTACACAAATAGAGAAGAGTGTATTAGTCCAATAAGTGAATTTCTTCACAATAATAAACTACAAACAAGAAACTAACACACACCAAGCTTTCTCATTGCAAGCTCAACTTCATCTAAAGAAAAATCCATTGCTAACAGGGACTCTTTCTTTTCATCTCTAACTTCACATGTATCAAGCTCCTGCAAGAAAACAGACTACATGAAATTATTTTCACTAGCTTGGTTTTCACTTGTGTATCCATTATACACAAATGGCACCAAATAATATAGTACAACCTTGTAGTCTATCAAACTTGTTATAAAATAATGTACTAGAAACTTGAACTTTGGTTCAACTGGTACAAAGTTTTTGTTTTGTTTAATACCACATGATGGAAACAATGTATATGCCTCTCAAAGTAGATACAACACTGGTTAAGAGAAAAAAGTAATGTAGGAAATATTTTAAAGAAGCTTTGAAGTAAAAAATGTAACTAAACCACCTCTTTTATACGTAACACAGTACCACGATGGGCAGCACTGACTGGGTCCTTCTCATCACCAAACAAGCTATCCAACGAATCTGATGAATCTGATCTATTAAGAGCCTGTTTAACGTGATAGAATTTATAGAGTAAACATCATATCAAATACTTCCATAAGAGTGGTGGGTTCAGTTGTTACCGGATATGCAAAAAGAGTCTCCAATAATAAGTCAACGTCGCCATCACCTAGATTGAAAGTAGTCCATTTCCGCAAGTCATTATAAAATGAAAGCACCATATGAGATGTCATTATGTTCTAGCACAATAAGAAAAATTAAAAATCAAAGCACCTAACTTGGTGCAATATATATCCTACCAAGAATAATCAGTCTAATAAACCCTCTTTAGTTAGCACCAGGAAAGTAAATTAGTTTCCCGAGATGAGTAGCAGTGTAGCACACAAAATGTGACATACCATTTTCTTCAATTGCTCTGTCAACAAGTGATGGTGGAAAACCCATTGCAAGCAAGGATGACCTCACATTGCTTCCCGATGAGAAACAGAGAAGAGAAAAGGTAAAGCTACAGACCAGTTAGCAGAAGGAAAAGATTTAAGAGTTTGGGAGTTACTGTAAATGGCTAAAGACGATGACCTTTACGCTGCTCGAAGGCCGTCCCCCGTTCACCCTTAGCTGTCCGCCGTCCGCCGTCTGTCCAAAGCTCTAACTCGGAACTGTGGGCTCTTTCGTCTTCGGTCTCTCTGTCTTTCTGCGGCGAACTTCGCTAGGTCTGCCGGTCTTGGCTTGGAAAGATCGATGAAAGAGTCAGGGTAGGCGCAGGGCTCTTTCGTCTTCGGTCTTTCTGCGGGGAATGAACTTCGCTAGGTCTACCGGTCTTGGCTTGGAAAGATCGATGAAAGAGTCAGGGTAGGCGCAGGGCTCTTTCGTCTTCGGTCTTTCAGGCGGCAGAAACTTTTAATTAATCCAGATCGGGTACCACCGATCTGGAATAAGAACTGATGCTTTATTTTTTGTTCTTTCTTCCACATCAGTTTTAACTGATCTAAAATAAAGTTTCGTTAATTCTAAAAATTACCCCGTTTTTCTTTTCACATCGGTTCCAAACATAACCGATTTAGAATATTTTCTAAAATTTTAAAAAGTACCCCGCTTTGGTTTTTAACATGGGTTATAACAACAACCCATCTAAATAACTTTATAAAAATTATAAAAATGACCCCGTGTTAGTATTCTACATGGGTTTTAAAATAACACATGTAGATAAGGCGATGTGAAAAGCCTTTTTTGTACTAGTGATTTCTCCTTCGCAAATTCAGATCCACGCAGCTCCGTCTTCAGGTCTCCGCCTCTGAAGCTAGGTCGCCGGACGAAGTTACAGTTACACAAGACCTGTCAGTGATGGTGGAGGCCTTGGCGGCGAAGCTGTTTGATGGCGACGATGTTTGGCGGCACAGGCACGGCAGCGACAAGGTCTGGCAATGGCGGCGTCGTCTGGCAACAGAGGTGGTTTGTCGCGACGGCCGCAAAATCGAAAATGGGCAGCGAACAAGGAATAAGGTGGAGGCGTTGAACTTCAATCGGCGAATCTGGGAGTAAAGCCTTGAAGGGAAAATTTGGAAAGTTAGAAATAGGTTTCCTAATCTAGAACTAAATAGGTAATATGAATGGAAAAAACATTAGCATGTATTATTTTTGTAAAAGAGCTATGATTTGGTCCTACTAAGAGTAAATTTCTCAATTTTCGGAGGAATGCTTTAGATTAACTTGGTGTTAGTAAGGAATTTCATTTTAGAGTTTTTCCCTTGAATATTATTAAACTTGGTCTTAGTAAGGAATTTCACTTTAGGGTTTTTTTTCCTTGAATATTACTAAACTAAAGTCAATTTCTAAAAATGTGACCATTTTCTTAAAAGGACAAAAAAGTCATATATTTGGAATAACTTGATGTCACTGCAAAATTGTTATGTCATTGTGAACTTTTTTAGTTACTATCGGATTTATATGTCACTTTTGAAATGTCACTATCGATTTTCATGTCACTTTCGGATGTAACTGTATCGGAAAACATGTCACTTTGTTGCCGGAAAAGTTTCTGACGACTTTCCCTCATCAGAATTTTCGCTGGAAACCATCACCCTGCCACCTCGAAACAACCGCCATCGATTGGGACCGCCTACGGACTGTTACCCCAACCCGCTCCCCTGCTCCCCCAGCCCCCTTTTCTACCTTCCAGCCCCCCACCCCCTAGCCCACTCGCCAATTCTTCCAGAGTTGTCAAGCTAGGACGCAAACAGGTTACATGTGGTCCTCCTCTTGATGTGATCTTCTTTGCACAAGTATGAGTGAAACACTTGAGATCTGCTCCTCCATTCTCTTCGATGGACACGAAAGTAACAGGTGAAACCATAAGGGACCTCACCTCTTTGATCCTTAGTCCGCCGCTTAACAAAACTGGCGGGCAACATCTCAGTTTCCGACGGTCCGACCTCCTCTGTCATCGACAGAACCAGCAATCAAGCGGCTTCATCTTTCGATGAACATACAAATCCCAGGAGAAATCAGCGCCATCCCCTCCTTAATTTGATCTGAATGTGCCGCTCAACAAAATTCTGACCAGCGAAAATTGATCTGGAGTTCACGAGTGCTGACGATAGCTATGACTTCTCAACGATGGTGGGAGGCGACAGAGACAACGGTCGACACAATTGAGAAGCTCTCTCAGTCGACGTAGCTGGGGAGGCTCCGACGAATAGCTCGACGATGTACGCAGATGAAGCTCGCAGAGGAGGAAACAACCCGAATCGGCGAAGAGAAGGCCTAGATCCAGAATCAGTGAAGAACACATCGAGCCCCATCGATGTTGCACCTGGCCTGAAGAGATGATCGGCGATGGTGTTCTGCTCCTGGGGAGTTGCTCACCCTTCGTTCGCGTAGGGAGGTCTCGCGCAGGGAGGTCTGGCGCAGGGAGGTACAGGGAGAGGGAGGATCCGTTCATGTTAATTCAGTTAGTTTTTTTGTCAACATGAATTATGGTCATATTTTTGTCTTCAATAACTTATGAGTAATATTTATGCCATTATTTCTTCACTTTATTACTCCGTATTTGTTATATGACAAATTCTCGTTGTTCACAAAATTAACACACAATTATCTTAGTTGTCTGCGTACAAAAACAATTTATTTAAAAAAGGACAGAATTTTATATTAAAATGCATTATACACGAGCAATGTAAAATTTGTGTACAAATGTTGTGTACACCAAGAATGGTTATTATTTTATATACAAATGTTGTTATATACTAAAAGTTACTAACACAAATGACATGTATACTAAGATGCTGCTATTGTATTGGTATATAAGTACATATTGAAAAATAAATGTAGTAAATATTAAAAAAAAATTATTATCTGTCTTGCTAACATTGTCTTCTGTTTCCTTTTTTGTCCGTCCCAATAAAATTGTTGCATATCAAATATGGTAAATTCGTATGGTTTTAAATCATCCTTACTTTATTTTACTTTATCAATTCAATATCAACTAAATAAACTTACTTTTCTTAATACCTATGTTACTAACTTGTCTCAATGTTAGTGGGAAGATGCAGTACTTATTACTACGTAATACATAATTAGAATACTCCACACGTCCCTATTTAAAGTTCTCACTCTTTGGCACTCATATTAAGGAAATGATATTCTTTGACATTGTTTAGACAATGTTTGACAATACGGAAAATGTTTAGTGTACATGAGTTGTACACAAATTGTACATAAAACTCTCCTAGTTGCCTGTGTACACATGCAATTCATTTAGAAAAAGGCATAATTTGACACCCATTTGCCTGTGTACACAAGCAATGTACACATTTTGTGTACATCTTGTGTACACCAAGCATAACCCATATATATACTCCCTCCCTCCGTCCCGAAAACAAGTTTCGGATTTGACTTCACTGGTTTTTAGGTGGAACAGGAAATAAAGTTGATTTTTCAAAAATGTTCTTGAGTAATTAAAAAGTGTAGTAACCAAATGGGTATAATAAAGGGGATAATGAATAGTGGAGTGTGGGTAACATACATCAATTCAATGAAGTGATTGAATGTAAAAGGGTAAATGAATAATAAAAACTTACTAAATATAGAAAGAAATTGAAGGTGAAATTTCATTTTGGGACATTCTGAAAAGAAAATATGGAACTTCTTTTCGGGATAGAGGGAGTATATATATTGAAATATGACGTGAATGTAGAAATGTAGAATGTTGTTGGCAAGAGATACGAGGTCAACAGTGAAGAGAAGTCGATCTAATCATTGTCACACATCCAATAGTAATTAAAAAACATATGATGATCCACATATGTCTTATAGACATTCCCCTACAGGTGTATGTGGAGAATAAAGATCTATATGTTCCTGCCGGAATCTCGCCGGAGGAGTA